CACCCCCCCGCCCCCGGCTCCAAATCTCAGAGAGTACATTTACCCTGGTGATGTGAGTGTGAGGAATGTATGGGTCTAGAGAAGGCTTGGTGGGTAGTGGCTGATTTATACTGCCTTGTACATGCTGGAGAAATGTGGAGGCACCCATGTGAACAGCTGAATATCCCACTGTCTGAACAGTGACTGGAACTTGATCTGCTCAGATGAGGCTTGGGCAGCATTTAGAGGCTGAGATTAGACAGAATCTTTTCATCCTCCAGTTCAGCTAGAGTTCGGGGGGTGGGGTGGTTGATTACGTGGGGAGGGGGTGTTGGGATAATGTTTTTGACAATGTCTTCTTTTTTCCTTATACATATTGTTCAGTGACTAGCAGCCAAGATTTCAGCTGGACAACTGGCCCTGCTGGCTCCTTCTTCTTGTAGGAACTATGGGATTCCTGTGACCTACATCAAAAGTATCATCCAAAGGAAAGCTTCTTTACTTGATAAAACTGGGTCTGATTCTCTCCTTCCAAGTTCTTCACTGTTGCTAAAGTGACGCGTGGTCATTCGTACAAATGAGAGGGACACTATGCCGAGTTTTCCGAATACAACTCCCTTATCTCTCATGGCAAAATAGCTATGTTCTTTAGGCAAACCCATATGATCTCTAAATCTCCTGAGACTTCCCCTGCAAAATCAGGGTAGAAAGGTCTTTCTGGCTTCATCTTTATCCCCCTCCCATACTGCACTATAAATATAACCGAACCACTCTATCAATACAGTTGCTTCTTTTTTGATTCTTGCACAAAGCCCACTTCTCTGAAGTCTTTCATTGATAGCCCATTACTGAAAGCTTTCTGAGTGGAAGTTCGAGGATATATGTGCAAAGCAAAAAGAAATGGGAAAATGTTAAGCAAATTACCTTCACCTGTGAGATTTTCCTCCCAATCTTCCCAGCATTATTCGCCTAATCTATTGACATTTCAGACTAGAGGAAGATTGTGCATAATTGTACCAGCAGTTTCTTTCTCTCTCTGAGGGTTCAAATGACAGAGGTTGTTAGTCTGAGGAACAGGATGTTTGCATTATTGATTAGGTCACACTCTTCGGGCTGAAATAGCAGTGAATATTCTTGGCTGATTTGCATGTGTCAAGTTGGCCTGCTTCTTGTCCATCAATTCTGGGGAGATTTTGTTGCTGCTGCATGTGCTAGACATCACGTCTCAGGATGTGCGTTCAGACTGTCAGTCACCTTACCTGCTGCTGCTGATTACAAACCTTATCTCAACCAACAAACTGTCTGCTGCTTGTTTTTGTGTCTGTGACCACGGATAGTTGTTCGGTGCTTTGGGCAATGCTTATCGTAGGTTCCCATTGCCGGGAGTTTCAGCTGTTTGTGCAGAGTGGAGGCTCACATAGCTGAACAAATGGCTTTACCATTTTCAATTTAGTTGTGCTACAGGGCAGCCGAAGATGAAAACAAACCACATTGCCCCTTAACTACATTTCTGGCTTACTAAACAATGCTGTAGCAGTCATGCTTCTCAAGCTTTGGTATATAAAATGCAAATTTCTCAGCTGAACTGACAGGGATTTTGATTCAGTAAGTCCCAGAAGGGACCCCGGAAATCTGTATTTTAAACAAATAGCCTGGTAATTCTGATTTAGATGAAACATGGGATATAATGCAAGAAACATAGCTGTATAGCATTAAAGAGTCTAGTGGAGGTTAAAAAATCAGGTTCTGGCCGAAACCGGTTTGGCTCAGTGGATAGAGCGTCGGCCTGCGGACTGAAGGGTCCCAGGTTCGATTCCGGTCAAGGGCATGTACCTGGGTTGCAGGCACATCCC